GGTCCTGTAATTTAGTTTTAAATAAAATAAAGTAACGTCTGCCGAGAATAAAGCGTGTATCAAAAGATGCTTTGATGAATTCAAAACAACCAACCCGACTAATGAAAATATTTTCGAAAAACTATCGCGCATTTTTGAGGTAATTTGTTTTTCTAATATTTGACAATGATTTAAGTTATGTTTTATTGTAGGTAGACTGAAACTCGATAATCGAGATTTTGAAACAAGATTTTGAGCACTTACTTTTGCAGTAGAAGATCTAAAAGCGGTACATTTCTATATCATGTATTTCGGAAAGACCTTCAATCTCTCATTTGGCAAAACAATTTAAAAAAATGTGTATTTTTTACTTTATTCACCTGTTGGAATTTGAGGGAGGACGTATTACTTTATAATAATAATAATATTTATTTCCAACAGACAAAGTCTTATACAGAAAATATCCGGTTACATGTAGGTATAGTTTTGAGTCCTGCATTACATATTATGTGTTGTCATAATCATTGAAATATATCTATATTGTGTTGCAATCTATGATAACTGCGAAACATTTTAACTACGGGGGAGTTTTTATAGTGTTCTGTTCCAGGTTTAGGTATACAAAATCCTAAAGTCCAGGGGTTATAGATATCGTTTAGTTAATGGTCGAACAATTATGTGCGAAGAGAAACAGGTAGCAAATTTCTTGAATATCAAAATTCTAGTGAAAACATAATTTTTGTACCGTAAAATGGCGCTATTCGGTCGCGTCTCTTGCATCTATACTAACCGAAAATACGACGGGACCCCCGCCCGGGTATTATAGTGACTACAGTGAACAGAATATCGGTAAATCCGCAAAACCTCATATGAGATACAACTGCAATTTTACAGGGCACATTAAAAACGATTAAACAACGCGACGTGTGACCTTTTTTTAATCTACTGTACAAATCACAGCTTTTCTTTAAAAAAATACGTGATTACGTCAGAAAATTGTTTTCAACAATATTTATTTTTTCAACCCTATGTCCCATTTTTTTGTGAGCAATTTGTATATACGAGGTTTTATTCAGTAATTATAATTAAAGTAACACAAAATTTTATTTCTTATAGTTACACAAGAAGTATAATAATAAACAAACCAAAGTAGCATAATTTGCAGAAATACTAATCAAAAAGACCAAAAAAGTGCATCTAACTGTTGTTTGAGGCCTTGTAGGTAGGTGTTCAAACTTGTCTTTCTTAATTTTTTCTGCTTCTGTATATTGATTACTGATTTTAAACTCAGTCGCCAAATTAGGCCTTTTATTGTTTTCGAGCTTTCTTTCTATTAAACTCAGCACTGTCTACTTCCATCTGAGTGTGCTCTTTTTACAAAAAGTTTTGCGTTATAGTGATTTGTCTCTTAAAAATTCAAATTCAAGGGACATTGGCATAAACAAATCGCAATTTCTGCTATTTAGTTATATGGACGCCAAAACAATTAATAATTAAAGATTGCACAAAGAAGAAAGTTGGGAAGAAAAAGCATTATGTATTATATTTAATAGAATCATTGTATTATTCCTTAAATCTAATATCTTATTAATCTGAAATAAAGTTTAAATACAAATTATCGCTAAGTTGAATAATATGAAACATAAAATCTAAATACCTATTTCTAAAATCTACAAGGGTCACATAAAATGACTAATAAAGAGCTTAATAAAAAATAGTATATTAAGATACAAGTGTATAATCAAGTCTTTAAAGCACGCGCAACGAGTTTAAGGGCACGACGCAAAGCGGAGTGCTTTTAACGTTGCAAGTGCTTTAAAGACCAATTATACACGTGTATCTTATAGTATTTTTTATTATACCTGCAGTATAATCTAAAAATAGGAAATACAATGAAGTCATATGGACGTTATACTCGAATACATGTCTAATTAAGTGGGCTGGGTGTTCGTAATTTCACGATTGCCATGGAAATGTCACTTGACGTTTGCTTATCATCGTCTTTGTGAATTAAACGATTTCCGTTGAAAAAGATAATACACCGCACATTAAATCGATTGTTGTAAAATCTAAACAAACGTTGGTAGGTGTAAAATCCAACTCCAGTAAAGCCTATTATAAAGAATATGAAGAGTTGTTTCCATGGATGAATAGGAAGTTACTTACGAATACAGTCTTAAATGCATCCATAATGCTGGCATATATGAAGGAAATGTCAAAGGTATTTAAATCTATATTTTGGTGCATTCATTCAAAACTTTAAAGCAATGCTGCGATTAAAAAGGGGAACAGATTTGGAAGCATACCTTAAATTACGCGCGTTTGTGAAAGCTTCAACCAAAGGATAGGTACAAAAGCCAAAGAAATGTTCTGCATTTACAGAAAGCGACCTAAGAGGATTTTTATTTCATCCAGATGACAGTTTCAAAAGTCATACTTGAAGTATCGTTACTTAGCAACTTTAAAGCACGTGTGTTTTAAAGGCCCTTTTTCGCACGCATTTGAGTGTTTAAAACGGAGATTGTGATTCAGGTATAATAAAAAATACGATAAACTTATTCTAAATACATTTCCCCAACCTCTTTAATTAAGGGAAACTGTAAATTTGTTAATGCTGCACATAATTGAAAAATAATGGACGCATGTGGAATAAGTGTTTGGGGAATCATATTTAGTATTCTAAAGCACTATATTCCACTAATGGCTCTTTCGACATGAATCCCAGCTCGTGCTATTATAGTTCGTGTCATAATCACCTGTTCTGGTGTAAACTGTGCCGAACTTAAAAATGGTGGTGTGTGAATATGCACTCCTTGTGGTAAAAGATCTCCAATTAAAACCCTTTTATCTGCGAGAATCAGATCTCCAGGTTGAAATACCTTCAATACTCCACTATCTTGCACAATTTTTTTGTCCGATATGGATTCAGGATACAGCTTACTTGCATATGTTAAGGACTCCGTTGGGTGCTACACCTATTAATCTTTTCAACGTATTTCGATGTTTATAGCTGCTGTATGTTGCCCTCTGCTTCTCCATATTTTGTGGATGAATACATGCCATCTCTGTGCAGTCCAAAATCATCCTGCAGTTAGTGAAGGAGTTAAAGGAGCTAAGCAAACCGAATTTATTTTTTGAGGTTGTTGGAACATCTGCCATGAAGTGTTTAAATAGCACCTCGTGCAGTGCAAACATCCACGTTTTTACAATGTTGGAAATAGTCCCCTTTGTAACTCCAAATCGAACACTGAGGTCGTCCAGCAGTAAATTTAACCGCAACTTCATATACGTAATTAACAATTGATCAATTTTGGGTATTGTTACTACATTCCACTTATCATAATAATTTGATTCGTGATTTTCCATTAAAGAATATAGAGCCAAATAAATATCTTTGGTTGGGATTCCGGTATATACACAGAAATTAAATGATCTGTATTTGCAATTGGTGCAAAGGATAATTTGTCGTCACACTTCTCTAGTGCTTCTTTTAGCTCTTTGTTTTCTTTTTCTAGAAAATAAACTTGAGCTTCCAGCATAGCTGAGAATTCTGGCGCAACTGTAGGAGCAGATGTTAAGCTTTCTTCAATCACTTCTTCTGCAGGTTCTTCAGTTGGTGCTCTTCTAATGGTACAGGATGAGGTAGCCATGATTTATACAAATTATACGTTTGCTCATACCGCTTTTTACTCTTTTCGGGAAGTAACTCCATTATTGCCCCTTCGGCAATTTATAAGAATAAGTGAAGTGTATTTTCCCAGCAAAATGTAAGTATTTTAAGCTTAATAAATTTAGGTGTGTAATATCCAGATGGACTTCAATATAATATATAATATTATGCAACAATAGATGATTGTAGAGCATATGTAACGAAAAAAACTAAATTTTTTAAAATCCAAGTTTTACAAAATTCGAGATGAACTTCGTCTTTGCTTATGGGGCACATGTGACCACTTTAGCATGGGGCAGATGTGGACTGTCCACATGTGCCCCATAGTATCTTATTCGCATCAATTGTATACTTAATACTTTTTTCTCCAACCACCTGAATAAGACGCTATTTTGTGACAGTGTTCGGTACGTAAAGTTGGCGTTTTCAGGATTAATCGCTTTCACTATGGCAACTGTACAAAAAGTGGATACTTTTGGTCCTAGTACCAAAAAGAAATTGACCTTGAAAGTTGGCCAATTAAAAAATTACAATCACGGAGATATGTCACATTGACATCGTTTTACATTGCAGGTTGTAAGATATTTCTATACATACATATCAAATATTTTTGCACATTCAATGCAAATAATGATGTTACCTCTCTACGTATGTACATGTATTGAAAATGATTTACGCTCGCTATTTTTATTTAAACCATGTGTAACGTCATTTACATATTCGATGAACGTAATTTTAATACGTATACAACCCGCCGTCGCGCGTAACGCCATCTACTTCAGACCCATTGCACTATTATCTGTCATTTTGAATTCAAAATTTGAAAAAGTTAATTGCAATTAATTTTAATTAAAAAACTGTATGGTAAGTTTTTTTTATTTCAATACAAAATATAACCATGTTAATTTTGTATGCCTACAATAGAAATGACTGAAACTGATAGCGACATGGATTATTGCACTCCGCTAGAAATTATAGAAACGGCAGAACATGCTACTTTAGATTTGCTCCCTACAAAGTCGCGAGAGGTGAGAAGTAAGAACGAATAGGTTATAAGTTATCCTAAAAACTAGAGTGGCATGACACCGACACGTGAGGACAAGAAAGCAGAAGTTCTCAAACTAGTAGTGAAATTGTGAACTGAATCTAAACTCGAATATAATTTAAAGTAAAGAGGGTTGGAGAAAAAATTTTATGTTTTATTCGTACAAAAAATGCGTTTTCGGGACTCGGAAGGTTGCTGGACTCCGCTAACGCGTCGTCCAGCAACTATCTTTCTCGTCCCGAAAACTGACATTTTTTGTACTAATGAAACAAATAACTATTTTATTTGATGTTTTTAGTTGTGACCATGGTTAGAAAGTATAAAACCAAAACGGATCGTTGCCTGATCGACGAAAAGGTAGTCAAAAAGGCAGTTGAGGATGTAGTAAAGCATAATATGTCAATCAGGTCTTCTGCAGCAAAACATAATTTGAAAAAGTCGATGCTATCTAAACGGGTGAAAATTGGAAGAGATTACATTCAGGATTCCGATGAAGGTAGTGGTGATGTTCGTGATAATGGAAGGAAATATGCAACGCGGCAAATCTTTACCATAGTCGAAGAAAAAATGCTGTGTAAATATGTAATGAAATGTTCAGATATTCAATATGGATTAACGTACATTCAGGTGCGTAAACTTGCTTTCCAATATGCAGTAAAATTAGAAAAAACAATGCCCGAGTCGTGGAAAAATGTTAAACAAGCTGGTGTTGACTGGATGTACAGTTTTATGAACAGACACCCTAATTTGTCTTTACGGAAAGCTGAAAATACATCGTTATCAAGGGCTACCGCGTTTAATAAGCACAACGTCGGCACGTTTTTTAAGAACTATTTAACAGTGATCAACAAATATCATTTTCGTCCAGAAAGGATTCTAAACCTCGATGAAACTGGGATAACCACCGTCTTGCAGGCACCAAAAGTCATTGCTACCAAAGGTAAGAAGCAGGTTGGTCAAATAGTGTCGGCGGAAAGAGGGCAACTTGTTACATTTGTCGGCATAATATCAACTATTGGAAATACAGTCCCCCCGGCTTTTATATTCCCAAGAGTCCACTACAAGGATCATTTCGTTGCTGGTGGTCCTATAGGCTGTTTGGGAATGGCAACCAAGTCAGGATAGATGACGGCTGTACTATTTATTGAATTGTTGAAGCATATCAAGACACACACTTTATGCAGTAAGGAAAATCGCATGTGTCTATAGACGCTATACTATTTGCTCGAGAGAATGGTATGGTGTTATTGTCCTTCCCCCCCTCACTGCTCCCACCGTCTTCAACCATTGGACGTAGGAGTATTCGGACCCTTTAAAGCTAAACTTCGTGTTGCCTTCAACGACTTCATGGCAATGAACCCTGCAAAAACTATATCAATCTATGATATACCTGCTCTGGTTAACAAAGTATTTACACATGCTTTTTCTCCCCAAAATATCCTAAACTCATTTAAAAAACCAGGAATTTGGCCCATTAATGAACTTGCCTTCTCAGAAGACGACTTTGCTAGTTCATATGTTACTGATAGGTAGTGTTGTAAAATTCCCGTAATTTATTTATTGTTGCGAATATTCGGGAATTTTTGAGAATATTTGAGAATTTTGGAGAATTTATGGTAATATTCATTTTTTACAAAATATACCATATTCTATAGTAATTACAATATACCTAAGAGTGAATCAATCTTTTAGTAATGTTATGTTTTTTAAAAACCAAAAAATGCATCCGATTTTTATATTGTTTATTTAAGATATATAGGTAATACAAACAAAAACAATATATAAAAGTGAAAAACTTAAAAAAACTCCACAAAACTCTAAAACTAAAACATTCATTCTAAGAAAATAGAATTTTTCATTTTCATTTTTGCTTAGAATCCGAATCATCTAGATCAGAAAACTCTTCAGCACCAATACTAGAATTTGAATCATGAATAGAAATTTCACATTCATTTTCAGAATCTGATTCCGAATCAGAATCGGACTCTAATGGAACTGTTGGAATAGACTTTGAAGTATTTCTTTCTTCTTCTTTGGAAGTTGAAGGTTCATTGACTAGGCTAATAGTTGGTGCTGATTTTTCTCCAAGTAATAATACATTTGGAATAGGATTGTCATAAACATAATTAAAATTATAACTGGTTTCTCCGTCTAACAACTTCGAGTTATGAGAGACATAAAGCAGTTTTCCAGCTCTCTCGGAAGTCAGCAAGTTCCTTCTTTTACAGTGCAAAACCGAGTATGTGCTAAATGACCTTTCGGTTGCTGCAGAAGACGGCGAGAGTCCTATAATAGCGACCGCCAAATCCTTTAGATTTGTTTTGTTGCATATGCCTTACTATCAGTATTTGATGCGACTTGCCACACAAAGTCCACACTCCACATGTCCGATTTTGCTAGATAATTAGTTAATTCCACGCAAATAGTTTGTTTGTGCTGTTGAAACTGCGGATGGTTAGATAATGTTGAATCTATGAACTGCATTGCAGTTACATGTTGCTCATTGCTCAACTCTTGTCCACAGTAATGTGGATCAAGTAAATAGGCAGACAAATGTATAGGCTTTAACATCATACATTTTCGCTTTTCAAATAATGTAATTAACTCCTTTTCTTCAGAAGAAGAAACTGGTAATGCTTTTACATTCGTTTTTATGCATGCATCTATTTCAGCCACCGCCACATAAACTTGTGACATCTTAGCAGAATCTCCTTCCAGTAAAGTAATCCATTTTACAATGGGTTCTAATATACTTTTAATTTTCTCCAACCTAATCCAGAAAACATCGTTGTCCAGAATATGATGCCTAGTAGTTTTTGACAACTTGATTCCTTCACCGTCCTGGCTTATTACAAGAAGTTGCAGAGCTTGTTTAGTAATTAAGAGGCTATTCAAACAATATAAGATGGATCCCCATCTTGTTTTCACAGGCAATTTTAAACTAGTTACTTTACCATACTTTTCAATTTGAATTTTATTGAAAGTTGCCTGATTTATATGCGACCCCCTTATTTCATTAATAAGTGCTCGACATGAAGACTCCACATTCTTTAAAGACTATAGCTTCATGATATCTTCCACTAAGAGATTGAGGGTGTGGGCCGCGCAGGAATATCCAGTTACGTACGGATATTTCGTAGTCACAATTTTTTTTGCCTTCTCCATGGCAGTGGCATTGTCAGAAACAACAGCGAAAATTTTTTCCTCACCGACTTCCGCAATACATTTCAATAATTCTTCGGCTATGTACTCTCCCGTGTGACGTTCCGCGCCAGTTGTCATTGTTTTAAAGAGAACCGGTTTTGGTGTTGTAACAATAAAGTTTATTACGGCCTCATTTCTAAAATTTCATAATTGTTGTTAATTTATGGTGGTTTAAAAACGAAATGTTTACAAACCTAATATTTGACCATCCGTCGCACTGAATCGCAACTGTAGAGGCTTGTTTAATTTTTGCATATACATCAAATTTTATAGATTCGTACTCGTCATTCAGAAGTTTATTTGATATCTGATATCTGGATGGCATTTGGTAGGATGGTCGTATAGACTTGAAGAAATTTTGCCAGTAAAAATTTTCTACCATACGAAGTGGACAGCCAGAACAGTAAATTGCTTTTGCTAGTTTTCTATCTAGTTGTTTCTTGGTATTGTCATCGATAGAATCAACAAAATTCCTTAAAATACTACTTTCTGTGGTTACAGACGACCCAGAATAAGATCTATCTGAACTTGCATCAATTTCTGAAATTGTTTAATAATATTGCGTCATCTCATACCCGCAATCGCGTAAAGTTGATTAAACTCACCTGTGGAATGCGATGCCCTTGATGACGAGCGCGAATATTGCAATTCAAACGACTTCTTAATGTGCGGGGGGCATTTGGCACATTTTTTCAAATGAGATTGCATTCGTGTGGCATTTTTTGTATACGACATACCACAAAATATACACAAAAAATTACTTTTACCATTTCTGTCAACCTCTTTGAAATATGACCATATACGGCCTTTGTATTTCGGCATTTCAGTTACAAGTTGTCTCAATTCACAAAGTACCTAAACTAATCCGCTCCGCACTACTAAAAGTGCACTACTGTTCACCAGTTCACCTTACAGATACTAGCACTGAATGCACGTGTTCGCGTAACCTCGTGAAATCGCGAAATCAGCTGCAAGTATAAAATGGAAGTTTCCGAAGAATGTTCTTGTAAAGTTCTCGAGAATTTACGGGAAATATTCGCTGCTTAAATTTCCTGTGTGCGAATATTCGTTCTTAGCAATGCGAATATTCTCGAATATTTCCGGAAATATTTCAAAATTCGCTTGGAAATATTCGCGCCTCACAACACTACTGATAGGCCAATAATCGCAAACAAAGAGCAAGAAGATACCGAAGAACCTAATCAACCTAGTGCGTCTACAGTAGCGTCTACATCAGCAGAATTTATAGATATAGATAATTCTTTGCCCTCTACGAGTTCTATTATTTCTCCCGAATCTGTTAGACCTTTTCCGAAAGCACCACCACGGCTCAATACATTTGGTAATTCAAGAAGAGGAAAGTCTAGAATATATACAGACAGTGCCGAGAAAGACAGAGTTTTAGAAAAAGCCATGGAGAAAAGTCGAAAAATAAATATCAAGAAACGAAGGCCAACTGTGAAGAGGTCATTAACAGATCAGTGTATAATGAAACATAAGTCTGAAGAATCGACATCTGATTCTAGTTTTTCAGTGCAAGACTCAGTTCAGATGAACGAATGACTGATGATGATGTTGTGACACCAGAAAATGATGGAATTTTAAAAACCAACGATTTTGTGTTGGTGGAATTTTGCACTAAAAAAACGAAGGTTTATTTTGTTGGAGTTATAGAGACAGTGGATAATGATGAATTTGAAATAAACTTTCTTAAGCGAAAAGAAGACACTTGGAAATTTTATTATCCCAAGATACCAGACAAATCCTCAGTCGCAAGGTCTGATGTAGTGTTAAAGTTACCTGCTCCTTCTTATATTGGGGGCACCATAAGAACGGCAGTGTCCTTAACATTTTCTATTGACATCTCAAAATATAATGTAAAATGATGTTTTTGTATTTTTAAGTTTTTTTACACATGTATACTAAAATAAAACCTTTTGAAACTTAATGTAACGAGTCTAATAGTATCACGTCTAATTTAAAATACATGTCCACATCTACCCCAATATATGTCCACATGTACCCCAGCATGGGGCACATGTGGACAAATCACAAAAAACTTTCAAAATTTATTTGTGAGCTTATGTTTGGTTATAATGGTGTTATCTACGGCGCAATTATCGACGTAATAGTGTTAAAAAAAAGGAAAAAAAAAGAAAATTAAAAAAAACTAAAAGTTGTGTTAAATATGGCCAATTAAAAAAAAGTGTCCACATGTGCCCCACTCTCCCCTATATGTAATCATAGGTGCATAAAATTTGCATTATTAAATAAATGATACTAATAGAATAACTGGCACAACTTATACCTATTAATAATTTGAAAACAAGAAACGATTCTGAAAACTACAATTTAAAAAAAATGACAATTTTCTCTATTTAGGCATTTAGGTAGATATGATCTTCTTTTTGGCAACACTCCTCCGTTTCTCATTTCTTCCGCACGTATTACACCGACTATCGTACATCGTGTAACCATCCATGACAATCAATGCACTGGATCCAGTCAGCATTGTTCTTAGTAACCAAATAATTTTCCAGGCATTCTATGCAATCTACATTGTCATCTGTGTTTTGGTTGGCATGTTTGGTGGATGTTGATACTGTTCGTTTTGAATGATCCGCTTCTCCTTTTTCGTCTTTTTTCGGTTTTGTCTTTTTTGTACATTTTGTCTTTTTTGTTCCTTCTTTGCAATTGTCTTTTTGTTCCCCATTTTTGCAATTTTTCTTTTTGTTCAGAAATTCTTCTGACGTTAACACTTCAGCCGATTGTTTCCTTTTATTAAATTTGCGTTGAGGAATAGATGGAATTGGTGCAATTTGATCCAGAAACTTTAATGGAGTTATAATTTCATCGGTATTAAGTTCAGAAATGGGAGATTGATTTTCTTTATTACGTTCGGCAACAAGTGATTGTATTTC